CACAGCAGACATATTTGGTTCATCCATTTCCCTCTTTCTTCACTATAGATTCTTTGTCTCCTTGTCACTTGAGCAATGGCCTGTAATAAGCACAGCAGAAACCCTGGACTGAAGAAGTGGGAATACGTGTCATGTCCACTGTAGGGAACTTTCTGAACAAGCTGTTCCTAGTTCTTTGTATATGTTATTGTTGTTGTTTAGTCGTGTCCGACTCTTCATGACCCCCTGGACCAGACCACGCCAGGCACTCCTGTCTTCCACTGCCTCCCGCAGTTTGGTCAAACTCATGTTCATAGCTTCGAGAACACTGTTCAACCATCTCGCCCTCTGTCGTCCCCTTCACATATATATACTCTCTCTATAAAAAATTTTATTAGTTTTTTAATATACCATTTTCAACAGTAATTAAATATACTTTTACATCTTATTCATTTTTTTTTAGTTCCATCAGTCCTGTCTGAATTTTTTTCAATCTAGTTTCTTAGTATGCATTTCTTATTTTCCCTATTACATTTCAAACTCATAACCAATATCTCTATCTTTTTCTACTTTGTAACACTTCATATAGTTCTCCTTACAAAACTTCTTGTAGTCCTACTAGCGTAATTTGTTGATTACAGTTGCTCTTCAATTAAGTCATATACTTCTTCCAATCTTCTATAAATCTCTGGTCCCGCAGGTTTCGAATCCTTCCTGTCATTTTGTCCAATTCTGAATAGTCCATTAATTTCGTCTTCCATTCTTCTTTCATCAGAATTTCTTCTTGCTTCCATTTCTGGGCTAACAATACTCTTGCCGCTGTTGTTGCATATAAGAACAGTTTGACATTTGTCTATTAATGTCTTGGCCTATAATACCAAGTAAAAATGCTTCTGGTTTTTTTTAAGAATGTATATTTCAACATCTTTTTCATCTCATTATATATAATTTCCCAGAAGTTCTTTACTTTATTACATTCCCACCACATGCGATAAAATGTTCCTTCTTTTTCTTTACATTTCCAACATTTATTATTTGTCTTACACATTTTAGCTAATTTCACTGGTGTAATATACCATCTATACATTATTTTCATCACATTCTCTTTCAAAGCATTACAGGCTGTAAATTTTATCCTTTTATTCCACAGCCTTTCCCATTCTTTAAGTTGTATATTATATCCAGTCTTTTGCCCAGTGTATCATTACATTCCTAGTTATTTATTATACCCAATAAAGAACTTATCAAACCAGGAAGTAGAAAAGATTGATTTATTATATGGGGGGGAGGGAGTGTGTGCTGCTTTAGAGGGTAAGATACAAATATGTGGGCAACACACACCTTAGTCCTGCACACTTTAATCCCAAAAAGAACTACCCCAAAGGTCAGTGAATGAGTGCAGCTACGTGCCACAGACTCACAGTAAAAAGAAGAAAGGAATACCTGATCTTGGAGTTTCATGGAACACAAAGTCAAGAGATCTGTGCCTTTTTCGAAATGTAAGCATTTACAGTATCTTAAACTCCTCTATCAGCCATGCAACAGAAATCTCTCAGTGAGACATAGGGCTGATGTGTGGCAAGAAGGGGTTCCATTGGAACGGTGAGTTGACAAACCACTGTAAAACCTTGGGTTTAAATATAATTGGAATCTAACTTTTCATGAGCAAAGGGAAGGGGCTTGCTCAGTGAGTGAATAATATGACACCAAATCCTTTCAACTGTGGTTTCTTCTCCCTGGTTTACTATTGTGTTCCTGCAATATAAGTATGAAGTGAGGATGACATGAGCTTAATTTTGGGAAGGCCACATTTTATCTTTACAGTTCTTGAATCATAAATTTGCCTTAAAAGTGATCTTTCTTGTCTTCTTCCTGCCCACGGGAGGCTGATCACTAGATCTTCCTGGCTAATAAAAGGATTAGAATGCTGATCTTTGCTGCAACTATTAGGGGTCAGGATCTCAGCTGTTCTCTGAGTCATGTATGAGATAGGTGCTTGTAACCAGGGTCAGAGATAGTTCATGCGGGATATCTTTCATATTAAACTTATGCCCACTGCACTGATGCCACGATCCAAAGAAATACAGTAGTACCTTGGGTTACGAACAGTCCTGCTTACGAACGCTTCAGGTTATGAACTCCACAAACCCGGAAGTAGGTGTCCCGGTTGTGAACTCTGCCCCGGGTTACAAACGCAATCCGCTTCCAGGGCCTATGTAGGGAATGCGCGCCTGGGATTAAGAACGCTTCGGGTTAAGAACAGACTTCCAGAATGAATTAAGTTCATAACCCAAGGTACCACTGTAAACCATGTACAAAGTCCAGAATAGCACCCATTGTTACAGTAAGAGAGCTGCTGCTGTATTTGTGGCCCTGCCTGCTCATTCTGCTAAGCGGGGCCCCAGACTTCTGCCCCAAAGTTGTGTCTGATGGCACCACTGTTTAAACACCAATAATACAATATCTGTTCCCAACTAACAGAAGGAGACAGCCTTACTGTAGAGGGAATTCACACTCGAAACCACTACTTGGTGGGGGGAATCAAGAGTGTATTATTCCAACACTGGAGAAGAGGAGTGTGCAATTTCCAAAGGAATAAGCAAAATGAAGAAACAAAAGGGTTTACAAAATGTAAAGGAATTGCTAGGTGGGGTGAGAAGCCTTGCTAGCATTTTCCTTTTTTTTAAAAAAAGGTCTGCATAAGCATTCCTGGGTTTGAATGGTACCGTGGAGACCCCTTGAAAACAACCCTGCTCATGGTGTTTTCCCCATGAAACTGCTAATCGTTAAAGGTGCTGGTACTGGTTTCAGAAGCCCCACACTGCCTGGAGCCAGGATACCTAAAAGACTGCCGTACCCTTTATATCCCCAACTATCACTGTGCTCTGCAGGAGAGGGCTTCCTGCATATATCATCTCATCAGGAAGACACTTCTGTAGGAACTGGGCTTCCGTGTGGTGTACCAACCCTTTCAAACTCTCTCCAACTACATATGTAATGTAATATGTAGTGTCAGTCTTGGGAGAAGGACAATGACAGGCCTAGACAGCATCTTGAGAAGTAGAGACGTCACCTTGCCAACAAAGGTCCGTATAGTTAAAGCCATGGTTTTCCCAGTAGTGATGTATGGAAGTGAAAGCTGGACCATAAAGAAGGCTGATTGCTGAAGAATTGATGCTTTGAATTATGGTGCTGGAGAAGACTCTTGAGAGTCCCATGGACTGCAAGAAGATCAAACGCATCCATTCTGAAGGAAATCAGCCCTGAGTGCTCACTGGAAGGACAGATCGTGAAGCTGAGGCTCCAGTACTTTGGCCACCTCATGAGAAGAGAAGACTCCCTGGAGAAGACACTGATGCTGGGAAAGATGGAGGGCACAAGGAGAAGGGGGCGACAGAGGACGAGATGGTTGGATAGTGTTTTCGAGGTTACCAGCATGAGTTTGACCAAACTGCGGGAGGTAGTGGAGGACAGAGGTGCCTGGCGTGCTCTGGTCCATGGGGTCACGAAGAGTCGGACACGACTAAACGACTAAACAACATGTAGTGTCAGATTATGATATCAGACAAGTGCCACCCCCATTCTTTTTTCCTCCTAAACACCTCCCTGCCCCCGCCTCTCCCGGACTTATAGGTGAAGGTTTTTATCTCAGTCTGCTTTGGATTTGAGTTTTTTAAAATTGTTGGTGTTTAAATTGTCAAGTTCCTTCAATGTGTTTCCTGGGAAGCAATTTAACAATGAAATGGAAGGCCCTGTGCTCTGAAAGGCAACTTACAAATTCCTTTAATAAATGAACGAATTCATAGCTAAAAGTAATCAGTGACTCAATCAGTGGATGAACACAGCTTGAAAGGTCCTCATGTCTTCGTCCCTTGCCATGTCACAAGCCTTGCCCAAGAGGGACTTGTGCAACCGCACTGCCACATAGGATTCATAATCGCATTTGCTGGATTGCTGCATTTTCCCAGTGACAAAATAACCCAGTCTGAATGCTGGGGGAATATTAACTTGGCACAACAAATGTTCCACTTTGTAGGGAGGGGAATAATTTGTATCACTGGCAAAACAAAATGAACAATGGCTGCTAACCTGTGCATGATTACTTGCGAGTAAGATGCACAGAACTCTGGGGCTTGGTTCTGAATAGAAATGCAGAGGATTGTGCTGACCTATACATTTATTGCCTAGAGGCAGTAACAGGGTAGCCTTTCCTTCTGCTTCATAGAGAGCAGTTCTCTCTTTTTGAAGGGATATTGGAGGATAGTCCTATGTTTGAAATCCTCTGTCCAGTCTAAGGCCAATCTATAGTTCAAGATCCATCAGGAGGGAGAGCAGGGACCTTGAAGGGTGGTCCATTGACAGCAAACTGAGCAGCCACACTGGTCAGATGTACTGAATGACTGTATCAATGTCTAAATTTGCATCCATACATATAAGTTAGCCTATGTAAATTTTAGGTAAATATGTGCCTTCCATTTCCTGTTCTTTGGTGATGGATAGGTAGCAAGGAGGGTTTGCTGGAAGGATCATAAAATGCGCCCCCCCATGGGTCGGCCAGTCTGAACTGGAGTGGAGCTGTGCCTCAAACTGCAACCCGACCCACCTATTTTTGCCACGGCCCTCTCTGGAACAGGGTGTCCGTTGTGCCCATTTTACAGACGGTGCCTTGAACGCGCAGCACATTCAAATCCAGGCCTTGCCGGGTCCACTCCCAGCTGTCCGCTGCACCGTCCTGGCAGCCTTCCCTGCCCTTTCAGGTGCCTTGGGAAAGGGCCTGCTCCCCACCGCCCGCCCCCTTCGTCCCCGAGCTTGGCGCATTCCTTCGCCCAGCACAAGTGGTCGTGCCCAGTTCAGACACTCACCGAGCCCACCCCGCCGTCTCCTCCCCGCCCTCCCGCCGCTCCCACCCCTTCCCAACTCGGCTTCCAAACACAAGGCGTTCCTTTGTATTGCCTTCCATTGCAGAGGCAGAACAGGAGCGCGAGTGCACAAAAAGACACACACACACACACACACACACACACACACACACACACAGAGCTCTTTAAGCTGCAAAAGCCGCCGCCAATTGCTAGGCGTAGATTTCCACCCTCAAATATCCGTCCCGGTTTTTTTTGTTTTTGTATTGTGAGGGGCGTCGGGTTGAGCTCGCTTTGAAGATGGTGGGGAGCCCACCCTCGACTCCTACCTAGATGCAAAAAAGAGAGAGCGCCTCTGGGGGTCACGATGATGCTCGGATGACTTAATCCCTCTCCTCCCGACGAGCCCTTTCTCTCCTCATTCCCTCCCCCGTCCGCTCCCTTCCCTACTTTGCGTCGGGGTAGGGGCGGGATATTTTTAAACCGGAGGAGGGACGGGAAGGTGGGGAAGGAGCTGCGGCGATCTGGCAGAAGGAGGTTTTTTTGGGGGGGGGGTGAGAAGGAACCTTCGGGGGCAGAGCGGCGGGCGGAAGGGGCACGGACGGACCCCCGCTCTCACGCACGCACGGCTTTTGAATGACTGCAGCAGCAGCAGCAGCATAGAGACCTGCCAGGCGAGGCGAGGCGGGAGGGAAGGAGAGCAGCCCTCCCAACCTGATCTCTCTCTCCCCGTTAGCATCGGGCTCCCTCCTTTGGCGGCTCCGAGGAGGAGGAGGAGGAGGCGGGGGAGGAGCCTCGGCCGCATTATTATTAGAACTATTAGTATTATTCTTGCGCGAGGAGGTGGTTTCCTCCCCCCCCCCCACGCACACATTCCCTATTTCTGCCCGGATCCATCGCCTGCCCCGCCTGCCTCTCTCTCTCTGCGCCTTCATAATCACCACCATCTTCATCATCCTCCCCTCTCTTCATCCTGCGCTCCCTTCGCCTCTCTCTCTCTCTCTCTCTCTCTTTTCCCCCAAACCACGCTCCGCACCCCGGTGTGTGGGTCGCTCGCCTCCTCCCTCCCCTGCAGAGGCTGCTGCTGGAGGGGGGAAGGAGGAGGAGGAGGAGGAGGAGCAGGGAGGTGGAGGGCTTTCGCCCCGGCTGAGCCATGCCGGGGGGCGGCCACGGCTGCCGGAATCAGGGATGGGGCGAGAGGCTGCTGCGGAGTCCAGCATCTCCCCACCGGGGGCCCGCGAGGCAGAGGAGCCGCCGCCGCCGCTGCCGCCGCCGCTGCTGAAAAACAACGGGCGATGGGTAAGTGGGAGATGCCCCCCCATTCACTGCCCCCCACCCGCCGTCATGCTCTCCTCTCCGGCCCTCCTTCCCCCCTGCCCCCCTTCCAACTTGCACTCCGAACCCCCCACTCCCCATCTCACTGCCACCCTTCCCTGCCCCATTCCACCCATCTTCCCTTTTGACGTGTGTTCCCATTCCACCCCACATCGTTCCTGACCCCAAGGGTCTCCCTTGCCACTTGTGCCTCCTCGCTTCGTCCCTCCCCCCCCCACCAGATCGTCAGATCTTTGTGTATGGTTAGGAAGGGGGGGGCCTTCTTTGGAGGCACAATTATTTTAAGACTGTAGGGGTGCGGGAAGAGGTCACAATCAGTCCTTTCTTTGAGTCAGGGAGCTAATGGTGTTCTGGGGACCAGACACTCTGCACCATCCATCCAGGAGGAAACTCCCAAGTGTTTTTGATCTTTCACTTGCCTTACTTCACTCTGAGCCTTAGAAATAATGGGGGGGGGGTGCAGATGTGTGTGTGTGTGTGTGTGTGTGTGTGTGTGTTGGGAGGGTAAGGGGTGGCAGGGACCCTGCCGTCGCTCCCCCAATCTCTGCTGCTGCTTGTGATTGTAGTATGGGGGAAATAGGGAACTGGGGGGGGGCGGGTTGGGTTTCCTTCTCCTCCTTAGCACTGTAGGGAAACGACCCACCTGTATCTGCAGGGATGGCTAAGACATGACCAGAGAGAAGATGCTGCCCCTTCTGAAAGACCATAACCCCAGCATCTCTCTCTCTCTCTCTCTGGAGGTGGGGGATGATGGGGATCTCCTGCATTGCAAAGCCAAGGCTAGATTGCAAGCCCACTCTGCCTTTCCCACCCTACAGAGAGAGAGAGAGAGAGAGAGAGAGAGAGAGAGATACACCTCAAAGCAAGGCTGGGAACCCACAAGCGCAGGCACTGCAGCAACAGCCCATCTGCTGCCCAGCTCTCAATGCCAGGAGGGCATTGATGGTGTATTTGTGCCAAGCCTGCACCGTGCTATAGGCAGTAAATAAGGGGGGGGGGAGAGAGATGAGATAAAGAGAGGTGCGATTTTGAACACTTATTCTATAGAATAAGCACAGAGGTTTTCCTTTCCGATCCACTCCCTCAAGCATATTGCTCATTGTGTTGTTGATTTTAAATGATCCCTAGACAGGGTTTGATACAGAAGCTGGGCTTCTTTCCCTTGGCTTATACATAGGGCCACTGGCAATGTCTGAAGATGCACAGCTAGACAGACAGAGCTCTGCCTCTCTGTATATTGTGGTGAAGGAGGGACCATCCGGTGCTGCTCCATCCCAGGGAGATGTGATTGTCTGCAGGAGCACAACAAAGGTGTTGTTGGGGGGGAGGGAGTGGAGCCTGTGCTGCAGATGTAAACCTACTTAGGCAGTATTATGGAAAGAAGGGGTGGGGAGAGCAAGCAGGAGGGATGGAAGAGAAAGAAGACTTGGACACCCCCCCCAGCTTTCCTTTCTCCAGGGATTGGTGGGTTCTACCTGCTGGGTTCTCCTCTTGGGCCACATTAAAGCTGTCCTCTTGGCACATTTTCAGGACCACTAAGTACCCAGATCAGGCAAGAGCAAATATTCCCCCAAAGTAGAATTTTCACAATTAGGAAAGCTGTCCCCATCAGCAGCAAGGATAGCATAGCAGAGCTTTTTGCCTGTTGAAAGTTTTTCACACAAACCATCTCAGTAATATTTAGAACAACCCTGTTAGGAAGGCCAGTATTTTTATCCCCATATTTGTAGGTGAAGGCCAGTAGTGGCTTGCCAAAGACAACCTGGTGAGTTTGAGTTAGATCTGAACCAGGGACATACTTGACAATCATTTATAGGCTGCTTTTGCACATATGTACAGCACATGAGCCAATGCACCATGGCTGGGAGTGGAATATATGAACTTGACTACACTGAAAAAGTATAGCATCCGAGTTGGGGCATTTTGTGATATAAATAACCATTTGTGGTGATAGATTGCAGCTGACTCTTTCACACATGCCAGTCATCACTTGATGTTGCAGTCATCATGGGATGAAGTTGCATGTTGAGCTAGACCTTAGGCTGAGAGGGTTACTCAGTTAACCAACGAATTTCCTGGAGGTTCAGATGCCTTTATGCCCCTCCGCAGTCACTGCTGAGAGTGGAAGGGGCTGAGTCATCTGTAAATCCCAAAATATACATACATTTCAGCAGAAACTGAATCATCCACAAGGCTCACTACCTTCCCATACCTAGGAGCACAGGAAGATGCATCCCACCAAGTCACACTGGCAATTGACCAAAAGGTTGGTGGTTCATGGCCACCCAGGGATGGTGGTGGGCAGGATTCCTGCATTGCAGAGGTTGGACTAGATGACCCCCAGGATCCCTTCCAGCTCTACAATTCTCTGGTTCTGCATGCAAAGCATGTGATCTACCATTGACCTATGGCTCTTCCCTGACCTACAGCCCCTCAACTCCCTATACAGCCGAGCTCAGATCACGAGGAATCACAAATATCAAGAAAAGCAGCCCATTCCCCCATTCCTTGGAACTGCTGTGCTTCTCCCTCCACACCAGCATTTTTTTTAATGGCACAAGCTTTAATGGACTACCACCCATGCCATCAGATTCATTATGTGCACATGCTAGAGTGGTGGGATTGTAAGCAGAAGAAAAAGTAAATGCAGGAAAGCAGAGAGGCAGTGATAATTATGTGATGAGCAGAGTGGCCACACATTCCCAAACAAATCCTTGTGTCACCTGGAAATTCTTCATTTACCTAATTTTTCCTATTGATTATCTCATTTCCATTCTACGTTATCTAATCCACCAAACTCTAGTCACTTTAATCTATAGTACCTTTCCCTTCCCCCTGCGCTGGATGGCAGGGCACGCCATAGGGTATGTGATCCATGTGTGCTGCAAATCTGGGGTCAAATTTGACATCAACTAGGAACTGGCTGCATGGGTGACATTTTTTCAGAAACTTGAAAATAGTACAATAGGGCTATCGCCGCCTGATGGTACGCATGCTCTCTTTTTTTCCTATCCCATTGGCCTTTGGTCCAGCAGAATTTGCATTGCTTGAAAAATCTGCTTTGCCTATGGTGGGATGGATTGGGTTTTTTTAAATATGCATGTTAGTGTGGTTCTTCTGTACTTCATTCAAATCTCTGAAAGACTGTAGTCAGTACTCAGCCTGGAAAGAAGAGGGGAACATAGGATGCTGCCTTATATGAAGCCAGACCATTGAGCCACCCATCTCAGTGTTGTCTTCACAGTCTGGCAGTGGCTCTTCAGGGTTTCATTGCAGGATTCTCTCTCAGCCTGACCTGGAGATGCTGGGGATTGAACATGTGACCTTCTGCATGCAAAACAGATGCTCTACCACTGAGCTACGGCCCCTTTCCCTGAAGCCCCGCCTCCAAAGATAAGTTCCATTCCAAATAGAGAAGTAAAAGTGGGGATAATCTGTGCAGCATTTGGTGAGGCAATTGAGACAGGGGCATTAAAAAACAAACAAACCCTAGGTCTAGGAAGATGGCATTTTGTCTGTGTCTTTTGGAGGGGAGAAATGCCCAAATCTTCCCTTCCCTGATGCCCTTTGAGAATCCTTGAGTCTCTGCAGTGAAGTCTTGTTGTAAACAGTAGACTTGGACTGAAGCCTACAATTACCACAGGCTGTGGCAAAGCTCCCAGCCTAGTAGCTGGACCGACTGACTCAAGGTAGCTTTGCAGTAGAGACAGGAAGTTTGCTGCAGGTGTGACATCCTTTCCTGCTGGGGCGCTGTGCCAGATATCTATATCCCTTGGTTTGGATTCTGCAAATATGCAGACGACCCAAAACTGGATGCAGAGTGCACCCAGCCGAATGCGGAGAGGGAACCTGACCAATTTTCCCTGCGGGTGCCAGCTCACATTAAGAAGGCCCTTTCCCAGATTGCTGTCCAAGCAGCTGCTTCTAATACCATCATGTTTCTTTGCGTCTGTGGTGCCTGCTTGAAATGCCACCATATCTCTCAAGCATTTGAGCTGCTTCAGGGACATGCTATGGCCTCTTCCTTACAGAAAATATCAGACAGACAGACAGAGATGCAGCTGAAGAAATGGGTTTTTGTTGCATTGCATCCTAGGATTTATTTTGATATAAACACAAACTATACTCATAAAAGACAACCAGGAGACTGGAAACTGAACACACTTTGTCAGAAATCAGAGTCTCTTAGGTATAATCATTTTCTATCCAGAGTTCATGTGCTTATCAAAGTGCTGGTTTAGGGTTGTTTTTCCATTTGTCCTTATTTGCTCCTTGTGGCTGTATTTTTGTGGGCATGCTTGCATAGTAAGCTGAAAGTGGTGCATGCACATTGCTATGGGATGTACACAAAGCATACAGAGTAGCCAGGGACTAGAAGACATTTTAGGGTTGCCAACTCTTTCCAGCACGGTTTCTATACCTATTTCAGCTTTGGGAGAAGCAAAATTTAGCTGGTGAATGGTTTCCCATCTCCAGTGCATCTCCATGCTTTGCCTGCTGAATTTCTGTTTGCTGTAAAAGGCACAGGAGCCATGACGAAAAGAAATTTGGTAGCCATGAGAGAAACTCAGCAACAAATAATTTTAAAAGCTGGTGAAAGAAATTCTTTTTTTGGATCTTTTAAAAGAAAGGTTGGATAGATAGCCAATATAATTGACTTTCTCTGTTCCTTCTGAACCAGAAGAGGCAGCTGAGGTGTTAGAAAGGTGCTTGGGGGCTGTGATGGGCTGAATGTGGGCCAATAAGTTGAAGCCGAATCCTGAAAAGGCAGAGGTGTTATTTGTCCCAAGTTCTCACACCCAGAAGGTGGGAAGACAGTCTGTTATGGATGGATTTGCATTGCTCTGGAAGGGCTGGTCTGCTGGTTGGGGTGCTGCTGGATTCAACACGGTCACTGGAGGCTCAGGATACCTCAGGGGATAACAGTGCCTTTTTGCAGCTATAGCCGGTTCACCAGCTAGAGC